ATATTATGGAATCATCTCACTTTTCTGTCAGAAAGCTTCTGCAGCCTCCTGCTGGTTATCTGTGCTTTGTGGGGACTGCAGCTGACCCTTCTGATTCACCAGGTCTGTACTACTGACCCATCCTCTAACACAAGGCTAGGGGGTGATTCATTGCTCCATTTAGTGGCACATAAAAATGATGGTTGCTAAACCTCTTATTGCTCTTTTACAGTTTGGGAGGCTGGTTACAACATCATCCATTTTAGGTTATTTGTAGTGAGAGTCCCTGAGAGCCCCTGTAAAATCTATGTATTGGATAAGTGGGTCCCAGTTATTCCAAACGAGCTACAGCTGTGAAGTCCTTAGTTGGGCAGCAGCTGTGGCTTGTGAAGATAACTGGAATAAAAGGGGGGTGGGTCAAGAGCTCTGGAGGAATCCCTGTGAAGTCATGAGGAACTGCACAGCAGAGAAGAGTGGCATGGTAGAAAACCAGCCAAGAAGGTACAAGACTTTAGAGATGATAATAACAATGAGATATCAACAGTTATTAGGATAAATCTTTCTTGAATGCCTTTTGTACCATACTGTATCTTTCTCAGCTTTGTACTCTAATGCAAGAAGCACCACTGATAGTCTCTGGCCACTCTCGGTTGGTACCTATCTCAAACCATTTTGAAGGATTCAGATGAAGGGTTTGATGGCCAAAAGTGCTACTGCAGTCATGCTAAGTATGGCTGATCCTACCCTTAACAGGGCACAGATTGCTTTATATTTTGATGCTGTTTTTCAGACTTCCTTTTCTTTCTGAAAAAAATACAAAAGATCAGATGTTGATTTGAAGATTAGGGCCATGAGGTAAAAGAAAGTATTCACTATGCCACTGCTTACTGCAAAGCCTAACTTTCAGGCTTTCAGACAAGGAGACTGAAATACTGACAGTCTGTCATCACTTCATCCAGCTTTTTTATTTCAGGACAAGGAGTAATAAAGTTTTTTTTTTAATCTCAATGAATTGGCTGTCATTACTAAAGGCTAACTGACTGTAATGCTGAGGAGCTAACAGTGGGGACCTTGATGGGGCTCAGACAAGGCTACTCAGTACATGGGCCAGGACAAATAGTTTTCTCAGTCTGGAAATTAAAGAACATTTGTTATGTGATTTGAATGCAGAGAAGGCCATGATCTTCCCTTTTGGCACATGCACAGGTTATCTCTTAGAGCAGTCTGGAAGGATCCTCTGTGACTTTGAAATATTCTGCTGATGACAACATAGATAAGAATTAGACAGAAGAGGGATTTTATAAATAGACCAAGAGCACCAATCCTAGTTATGTTATGTGAAACAAAGGTATTTTCAACAAATAGAAATAAAGAGCTGCAGAAGGATACTGGAATTGAATTTCTTACATGTGTTAGTGCTAGACAAGTTTGGTAAATTTTTATTAACACCACCAACACTTCTCTAAATCTGTTAAGATTAGCATAGATTAATACCAGAAGGCATCTGAGTGTAACCAACTCTTCTACAGAAACTTGTTTGGGAACATGTCCTTCCATTGGCCTCATTTATCCATTTATTGATAAAATCAGTATCTTGCTATCATTCAGATGGCAATTCCCTGCTGATTTGGACGTGATGAAACTTGCCCTACGTGTCAGTGTAGTTCCAGTGGATGTGCAGGGCAAAAGGGATTCTGGCTGGGATGGTTGGTGCTGCTGATGGCAAGCAGGGCCCGGCTGTTTCTGCCAGTGATGTTGTCATGGCTCCCAGTCTGTTTGCTGACAAAGCCTGAGAGAGAAATATGTATCTGGAGTGGCTTCTGCTCTCTCTCAACAACTTCACAGCTGAAAAGAATGGCATGGGACTGAGACAGCTCCTGGCTTCTCTTTTTCTGTCAGAATCCTATTTTACTTCTTTCTTTTATTCACTGATGTCTTCCTGTAGCACTTTCAATCTCTTTTCCTACAACCCAAAGAAATTTCTTGGTCGAGGGAGCTGAACATTGAGATCATAAACCTAAGCCTATTTGTTCAGGGGTCCTGCAGCTGGGAAGTTGTTCTTTGATTCTTCCCCAGAGAATCCAAAGATCTGCTCCCATACCCCTTCAATTCAAATCTTTATAACCCACTTGCCTGCCTCCACTCACTGCTGTTTGGGCTTCCTTTCAGTTACTTACTTGCTTGTTGAGCTACAGCAAGCACTAAAGAGCTGCTTACTGCAGCAATATAATAATAAAACTCTTTTTTAGGAGGGTAGAGGTGGAAAAGGGAAGTACTTTTTTTCATTTCATCCTCTAACATAAGAAAAAATGTGTCTGTACCACTACCCAGTTCCTAGGCTGGCCATTTTTCTGCAAGTTTTGTAAACAAGGGACTTTTTTTTTTGGTGTAGCATAAGCAATTCTACCAAGGTTTACACCTGCAGTGTCTGGCTTGTGGAACAAGAAATCCAAATGCTGATTCATAATTTATATGTAAGAAACTTGGCATTGCTTTAAGGAATAACAGCCAAACCACCCAGTCTGATGAGTAATTAATTTCCCGCAATTGGCTAGTTTGCTGAGCCCTACCAGGCACACTGAAAACTTTTGTAGAGCAGTAAAGCTGGCCTGCAAAGAGCTTTGTTAAACTGAACATACAGAGCAATTTGTAAATGGAATCAACTGAGCCTAAAAAGAGACAATGTGATATACAACAATAAAAAGCAAGTTGGGTACTGCAAGAGAAGTAATTGGAAGTGGAAAGAGGACAGTGTCTGCACAGTTCTTGCTAGATATAAGAGCACAGGAACAAGTAAAATTTACTGTTAGGTATCTGAGTTTCAGGACCTGCAATGGGAAAAATCAAAAGCTATGGAAAAGATAACCACAGTTAACTAAGGTAAGTTAACTTTGCTGAAAACTTCTTACCAAAAACATGCTTTACATTAAAGAACAGAAAGAGGACTGCAGATGATATTTTTCTGTTCTTTTCTTTTGGTCATAGCAAAGAACTAAGAGCTCAGAACTGGCACACAGGCGAGATACAGCAGGCAGTGTGTGTGTTCAGCAGATGGCATGATCCACTCGGATTTAACAGCTGCACTTGACCACAGTTTGTGACCTCCAGTTTGTGATAATTTAAATTCTCTTTCCAGTACTGGAGAGAAGGGATAGGCAAAGTTCATCTCCTGACTACAACTCTATAATGCTAAAAGAGCCATTTTAATCAAAATGATAAAAAATTGCTTTTCATTGTCACCCTTTGTGCAGGGACTATTTGTACATAAAAATATTTCATATAATGGCCCAGGTGTTTCTGCATCCCTAGAGTGAAGGCAGCAGTGACAATAGAGAAACCTACTGTGGCTTGCTGCCATGATCTAGTTGAATAGTTAGAACACGGGTTGGACTTGATGATCTTATAGGTCTCTTCCAGCCTTGAATTTCTGTGATTCTGTGAGTACATTAATTAGACATAGGGATTTATCTGCTTTTCAATGATAAACCTTAGCTGAACAATGAAAACACAAAAGTGGCACAGGATAATTGGGATTTGTTGGTGGTGATCTGTGACAGTGTTCACAGGGGTCTCAGGTGGAGGGAAGAGATGAGGATCTGACTCCATGTTTCAGAAGGCTTAATTTATTATTTTATTATATATATTACATTAAAACTATACTAAAAGAATAGAAGAAAGGATTTCATCAGAAGGCTAGCTAAGAATAGAATAGCAAAGAATGAATAACAAAGGCTCTGTCTCAGACTCTCTGTCTGAGCCAGCTGGGCTGTAATTGGCAATTAATTAGAAACATCTAACATGGGCCAATCATAGATCCACCTGTTGCATTCCACAGCAGCAGAAAGCCATTGTTTACATTTTGTTCCTGAGGCATCTCAGCTTCTCAGGAGGAAAAATCCTAAGGAAAGGATTTTTCATAAAAGATGTCTGTGACAGTGATGCTTTAAGAAAAATGCTGTAGGTTAAAAAGAAGCAATTGCAACTGTTATGCACCATGAAAAAACTTCAACCCACTGATTTTTGGAAAAGTGGTGACTTGGAGACTTCCTGTGTCGATTTAACTTCAAATCCTGCATGGTGCCTGACTGTCTGGTTATCAGCTCAGGAGAAGGGCGTTTGCAGTGTCAGGAAGGTGTGTGCTTGGCATTCCCCAGCCTGCACCTGGAAGCAGAGGCTGTTTGTTAAGGACTAAAACTGATTTTTCTGTCTTTTGGGCAAGGCCCAGAAGGAGCATTGGCTGCCTGACTGCTGGATCCACAGAGGAACTTCAGCCACTGGAATACTGAGCACTGAGTTTAGCAGCTCTTGGGCCCCTGGGGGAATTCACATCCATCTCGTGGAGCCCAGGCTCCTGGAATGATACACTGCCCCTTCCATTTCTGCACTGAAATCTCTATTCTGGCAAGGGGCACAGAACACAGCTACTTATTTGTTCAATTGTTTTAATACAAATTATTTAAATATATTTTCTATTAGTGACATGGTGGGTTTGACTGTATGTTCTCTAAGTTTTATAACAGTGGGGTTCTTATTTCTGAAAAAATCCCAGCAAAGCTGAATATGAGAAATTCCTTATAGTAGTAATAAGCCCCCCACTTCAATAACAGTCTTTTCTCCTCTTTTGAAGTACTATTGTAGGATGAACTTATTGTCAGTGTACTAGGAACAACAAAGAAAACAAGGAAAGGAGCATGTCTGGTCTATTTTCCCCCTTTAATATTATAGAAAGCCCATAATGAATTTCAGATCAGAACCCCTGTTCAGTTAGAAAGAGAGGGGAAGGCCACTAGATGGTGGTAAAAACCCAAGCCTTTGCTGTGAGATCTGTGGCAAGAGAAGTCCAGGGGGGCAAAGAAAGGGAGGAGGAGCCACAGTTTGAGTACTGAATCATTATTGCTTGGAGTCTATAAAAAGGCAGTTGCACAGTAAGTAATTTATACGTGGTCAGCTTTGACTCTATGGATTTACTAATTCCTTTCCCTCTATTTTTTTTCGTCTTTTGCCACCAAGGAGTCCCCAGCCCCAGATGTCAGGGAGGCTGAAACTTGGACTCTCTGGAGGAAACGTTGCAGACGAGGAAAAGCAGCTGAAGGAGCAGCTCTGGTAAATAGGTACAGTAAATTCCTGATTGCAAATAAAAAGTGGCTTTTTGAAACTGAAAATTGTTTAGCATTATATGCTTTGAATTTGTACTTGCAACAAGCCACTGACAATCAGCTCTAAATATTCCTTTTATTGAAAATGTGATGACTTACAACTTTCCCTAAATATTGTCACTACCAGAAAACCATTGAATAAAATATTCTGGATTTGGAAGAGAAAACTTCTTTTACTAAAGAAATCTACTCACACCAGTTCTGTAACCTTAGTGTGTCCTGAAATGTATGGATTTGCCTTGGTTAGGTGTTTAATACCATGCTTTTAAATGAGCATGTTAACACTGCACAGATAAGCTGTTTATAATACAGTTCATGCCAAATTAAATGTACAAAGGTCAGGAAAGCATTTAAACATTTTACTGAAAATGTTCAATCCTTTATTGTGTCAATAATAGAAACTTCTCTATATTGTATTCAAGTGAGTGGTTTCTGCTGGAGGCAATGCTACATCCTCCTGCATTTCTGGGGTCTGAGAGCTGGGACTGGGAAAACTGCTTTTTGTTTGCTTTTCAGCAGAATTTCCAGGACATTCTGAGGCAGCACTCCAGGGAACCAGATAGAATAAACAAAACTATGAATGAAGAGTGCAGGAATCTTTTCATCAGTTTGTGATTTTAATTTCCCAGTAAGGATAGATAGAAAATCTGTGAGCCAACCAAAGTTTAATTTAGAATCAGTGAAGGAATGTGGTGGGACATGTACAACCCAAATTAAATAGAAATGGCTGGTATTTATTGTAACTTCTGCCTGTAATCTTCATGCTATATTTTTTTTTAGGCAGGATCTTCTGCCTTTTGGAAAATGCATTTACCACACTCCTTGGCAAGCCCTTCAGAAGGAACAGAATGTGTTAGCTCCCAGAGATGAACACATCCTCTCAATTCAATGTTTCTGAACTAAACCTGAGTGCCTTCGGTAGCAACTTTACTGTGCCTACTGCAAAGAGCAAGTCATCGCCATGTGAGCAAGTGGTCATCTCAGCTGAGGTGTTCCTAACTCTGGGCATTGTAAGCCTCCTTGAAAACATACTAGTTATATGTGCAATAGTTAAGAACAAGAACTTGCACTCACCCATGTATTTTTTTGTTTGCAGTTTAGCAGTGGCTGACATGCTGGTTAGTGTCTCTAATGCTTGGGAGACCATAACCATATACTTGATAAACAATAGACACATCATCATGGAAGATGCCTTTGTCCGTCATATAGACAATGTCTTTGATTCCATGATCTGTATATCTGTGGTGGCTTCCATGTGCAGTTTGCTGGCTATAGCAGTAGACAGATATATCACTATCTTCTACGCCCTGCGTTATCACAACATCATGACAGTGAAAAGGTCGGGGCTCATTATTGCATGCATCTGGACCTTTTGCACAGGCTGTGGCATTATCTTCATTCTTTACTATGAATCAACTTACGTGGTCATTTGTCTCATCACTATGTTTTTTACCATGCTGTTCCTCATGGTCTCACTGTACATCCATATGTTCCTCCTGGCTCGTACTCATGTGAAGAAAATCGCTGCTTTGCCTGGGTACAACTCTGTCCGCCAAAGAACCAGCATGAAAGGAGCCATCACTCTGACTATGCTTCTTGGCATCTTCATTGTTTGCTGGGCTCCATTCTTCCTTCATCTCATCCTGATGATCTCCTGCCCTCAAAACCTCTACTGTGTTTGCTTCATGTCTCACTTCAACATGTACCTCATCCTCATTATGTGCAACTCGGTGATCGACCCCTTGATCTACGCCTTTCGTAGCCAGGAAATGAGGAAGACCTTCAAAGAGATAATTTGTTGCTATAGCCTGAGAATGCTCTGTGGGTTATCAAACAAATATTAAGATAACAAAACCAAACCAGGGAAGAGACTGGAAAGGCAACATCTTCCTGCATCCTGTAATTCTGGTGAAATGCCTATGGAACAGTTTCTCCATTCAGCTGTCATGATTCCCACAGCAATCAGAAACCCTTTTTAAATATGTGATTTTACATTTCTTTCCCTCCACACACCTCTCTCATGCTGGTGGTTGGAGCTACTCAGTCCATCTGTATTATTGGGATAAAGGATATTTTGAATCTCATTTACTCTATTGAAGTTTGGGATTTATAAGAGGGTTATACAGGGAAAACCTTATTTTTATTTCTGCTAAATGCAATGAGTGAGTTCTGCCATGTGAATGAACCCACTAGCCTCTCAATGTGTGTTTCTTTTAGTGTTATTTCTCTCTCTAGATATAAAAAAATAATAAAAATTTATCTTTCTAAATAAAAACAAGCATGGTTTATTTTGATGCCCAGAATTAAGATGGAAGTTTTTTGCTATTTCCTTCTGAAGACATAAAATCAGAGAAGTAGCTCCAATTATCAAGCTCCAGGTACCTTGGTCGGCAGTTATGATCAATATACATGCACATATCAGCAGTCTTGTATTCCAGTCATGACTGGTACTGTCAATAAAATCTGTATTGTGTAAGATGCCAATGTTTCCACGAGATTTTCCAGGCTGGATACAGCACTTTGTCATATACGACTATATATGTTCAAATCACTGTGAAGCAAGATGTACCACAGGTGGATTTTAAGGCTGTTGGTTTTTTTTTTTTTTTTTTTTTTTTTTTTTTTTTCTTTTAATTTGCCAGGGCTAGGGAAGCAAAGGGAGCACAGCCTGTAGATATTCGTGTAATATTTTGTGGAGATGGAAAGATTGAGTGAGTGGCTGCCTTTCTATACACATTAGAAAACCCTTTTGGATGTGAAGAGCTGGTGTTACTGCAGATTGCATCTTTCAAGTTGGGAGAGACAAAACAAGTTTGATAATCAAAAGGCATGGCAGGCAATGGCAAAAAAAAAAGGATTTAGAAATGTCAGGTACATGTAGCTATAACAGAGTCCTGACTTTTGTTCCCCAAACAAACAGTTTTCCTCTTAGTTGAGAGGATCCTAAGCTGAAACACTCATGCCTTTTGTGTGAGTAGTTTGCATCTAGTCATGCTTTCATAAACCTGCTGTTCTGCAACAGCTGTGTAAGGTGCAAAATCTGGGCTTACAAAAGAGGGAGGAACTTCGGTATTTCTTGATGAGCATGAATGGTGCACATCTTGTGCTGTGATTTAAGTTATGGAAAGATTCCAAGTGGTGTTAAACTACTGACTAGATAGTTGAAAATATCTTGAAAAAATGAACTCTTCCATCTGAAATCTGGAAGAATAATGCTTGTAATACTTGGTTTATATATGCTGTAAAGCTCTTGTTTATCAGTAGACAGTTTATGATTTATTCCATGAGTGTTAGGTTACATTTTCAAGGTGAAATTCCTGATTGGGTTTTAGGAAATTTATTTGCCATAAGGGTGGTCAAATGTGTGAACAGGTGCTCAATGGTTGTGCAAAATCCATCTTAGAGATATTTAGAACTTGACATGGCCCTGAAAAATGTGCACTAAATTGAAAGCTGACTAACTTTGAAGTTGGCCCTGCTTTGAACCACTAGGAGCAGATTACCTCCACAGGTGCCTTCCAACCCAAATTATTCAGTGATTCTATGACACGGTTTGCATATTATGATAATTTTTGCCCTTCTAATTTTACCTCTTGTATAAGAAAAATTGGAAAGTATTCCCCTCCACACACTCAGAACCTACTTTATGTCTTCATTTGCTTAGGAGGTTTCTGACAGGAGAAGTAAGGTGCAACTTTAGCACCAGAGTTATACATTTTGTCTGCTTAAACTTTACTATTCCTCCAGCTCACATTTATCTCCCTCTGATATAAGTGGGAATGTTATTCTCAGTGGAGATCCCTTATTATGCTGACTGATATACTGATTATCAGTGCACTAGGGGATAGAGTCTTCCTTCAGCTATATCTGAAAACAGGATTTCAGAGAATGCTGGAGGTCAGTAGTGAGAATCTTGCCTTGATTCAGCCCATCTCTTAATCCTATCCATAAATAGCCTCTAAATGTTGGCTCTTGCAACTATGAATATACATGACAAAAGGAGACCGTTCCACTGCATAGTGAAAGTCACCAGCTGATGTAAATAAATCATTAAATCATTACTGGATATTGCAAATAAGACAGTTTTGTACATAACTGTAAATCAACCAAGGAGAAACCAAAACTGTAATAGCTTTAGGTATTTTCTTGAATTGTATATTACTCTTTTTTGTTTTGTTTGAAGCCTGTTTGATGTTTAAACACAGACATATGAAGAAACTATTAAACTAGATTGCTGGAAACTCCCACATTTCTGGTTATTCAATGTAACATTTCTGCTGCATTATTCACAGAGGGGAATATTGCATTACAGACTCTCACGTCTCATTTAAACAGGTGCCTTCTTAAGAAACATTCTGAATGAGAGTTACAGACTCATACAGTGTATTTACACTCATACCTATGTTCCTCTGGGTGTCAACACCACATCTTCATTATAGGCTTTAAAGGTGGTGAGCTGAAACAACTTAAAAGCGAAATGAAAGTATTTTCAAAACACCCTAGAACATTTCTGGCAAAAGAGGTTGTTTACACTCTAGTAATGAATATAAAATACATATCTCTGAGAGACCATGACAAGCTTCAACTTGTTTCTTTCTCCAGTTAGCTGCAGAATAAAAGGAACATTTAGCATACTGTCACTTCTGTCAGAGCCTGGAAAACACAAAGTGTTGTGATAGACTGGGACGAGCCAGCATTGTGTATGCAGGAAATTTGCTGTCACAGGACAGCCATGGAAAATTAATTGCTAGACTGTCATTGCACCATGTCCCTGCAGATAATGACACTTCTCTTGCTTATCCAGCCAGACATTTATGGTTTAGTTTTAGTCACTGCAAAAAGAAAGTTCAAATCACACTATTTCTTCCCCAAAGCGCCAAAGCTAATTTTTATTGCCCACTGTTGCTTTGATGATAGAACACTTCACTGCTTCTAACTCATGTGTCACAATTTAAAAGTTCTTAATAAGCAAGTATTCTGATCTTCCTCCTGTCGCAGGTGGGATCAACTTCTATAAAGTCATCTGCATTTAAAGAAGATTAGTATCAGGGGGAATATTAAAAGAAAAAATCTGAATCCTTTCTCCATGCCAAGGCCACTATAAGGTTCTAGGAAGTACTAGTTTCCCAAAGACCCTTAGCATCTCTTGTAACAGAAAATGGTTATAATTGGACGGAGCAACAAAATTGCTTCTTTGGGGAAGAAGTTGGTCCTGGGCTTCAGGATCCTGCTCCCCAAATGGGCACAAATCTGTCACAAAAAGCTCTAATTACTGAGTACCAGTGCCACTGAGTCTGGGCTGGGAGGGATGATTGTTTTCAAATCTACAATCTACAGGTCTACATCCTTTGTGCAACCAGTGTCCAGCAGTCCACTAACATAGCGTGGAACCCTTTTGAGAGTGGATTGCACATTCATTCCCACCTCTTAGGCTTATCCTGTCAGAAAACCTTCTCAGAATGTCTCTCTGGAGACCGGAGTTGCATTTTTTGTGGTTCAAATAAGTGCAAAATAAGCACAGAAAGCACAGGAATTTCCTGCACACACAAACTTTAGGAAGGCAGAAAAGGTTTAAAATCTTTGGGAAAACAACTCAACTACCTCACACAGTCTGCTCTCTGAAATATTCAAGGACTCTGTTTTACTCCGAAGTCATCTTGTGGATTCTCCTGCCTATTTTTCAGCAAATGCTTCCTCTGTTGCTCATCAGCTTCTTGCACAGGAGACCAAATCATGGTGACCACTGCTGCATTCAGGAATTGCAGAGGATGGTCCCAGTCTTCAGCTGTGCTGGTTTTCAAGTACAGTGCCCTTCCTGTTAAGCAGGTGAAGAACATTTGGGAACATGGACGTGGAAACGGGGATCCTCACTTGGGGGACAGAAAGTCATGCAGGCTGTGGTGGAGCTGCCTGCATAAGTTTCTCTGCTAATTTATCTCCAGGTGAGATGTTCTCCCTCCTTTTCTAATCTTAGCCTGTGTTACAACCTCAGCTGTGGGTACCTTGGATCCTCCTGCTCTTCATACAGGACAGAAGAGTCTGAAGTGTATGTGTACACCTACATACCTGTCTACACCAGTTTTTTCACTCCCAGTTATAAAATACAAGCACAAACGACATCAACAGATGAAATGTATGTGAGAATGTATAGTTACTTTTCCTCCAACCTTTCTGCTTTTTCTTATTTGCTTTCCAATCTGCAGTGTGTTTTTCATGTATTTCCTCTCCCTGTGAACAAATCAGCAACAGTCAAAATCTGAAGCACAAGAAAAAACCCTCAAGTACTTTTTGCATCTTGAGGTTTTGGAAATTGTAGTAGATTAGTGCGACAGAACAGAGTTCCCCTCACACCAGTTAAACTAAAGATCTAGTAAATTTGTCAAATTCTTATGGCCTAAGCATTATTCCCACAATAGTTTCTTTTTGAGCAGCTTGCCTAAAAAAGACCTAGGAATGCATGACTAGCTGTGCTGAGCAAGGAGTGAAGAGTTTTCATCAAAACAAAGGGCAGCTCTTTAGGGACATTATGTAAAGTCTGGACTTGTGTCCGGCAATCCTCTGGAATGCAAGCAGAGCTCCCAGGAAGCTGTGGTTTAGGGACTTGCGCAGGAGGTTATATTTACAGATTTGTGACGAATAGCTCTAAATGAATGGGTCTTACACAAATTTACCTAATCACTCTTGGATCTCTTTATTTTAATCTGCAACATCTTGTTTCACAAATTAGATATGTTGAGTGGAAAAATTATTTTTTTTTCTCTTATAAAACATCTACTTGTAAGTTTTCTTCAATGCCCTACAGTCCTTATGTTGCAAAGAATAGAAGTAATTACTGCCCATTCATTTCCCTTGTGACATTCATTATCCTACTCCCCTATATTCTTCTATAAATTTTATCTTTGCCAGCTAAGAACCCTGGCCCATTTAATCTCTACTGGTATCTTCATACCTTGTTGTTATTATGTTGTTTTCCTAGACCTATTATATTGTTTTTGGCTCAGAGGGGACCAGATAAGCAAATGATAATCCAGATCTAGATGGAAACTACATTTCCACAGTGCCAGATGCTGCTGCCTTCTTTTCTATGCAGTATGTAACAATACACTTTCATTTAGTACAATACACTCTATAATTTGGAAAATTTCAAGATCTCTAAAATGCTCATGGGA